AAAGCAGATCAGTCTTTTCATCAAAAAATTAAATTTTGGTATTATTAATTCATTCATTTTATGTAATTAGATAATCTATAACTAGGTATTACCCAGGAACCTGCCCATCATTCCCTCTGTTCTTCTATTTGGGAAGTATTTTAATTCTAGGAACATCATGAAGAGCATTTGTGTTGACACAATAGAATCCACCTCCACCCTTTTTTAACCCAAATGGAATAAGCCAAAATGAAATATGTAGGATTCTTGGAAGAAAGCATCAGATAGACAAATACTATGAGCAAAAAATTAATTTATTATATATATTCTCTAATAATTCATAATAGCTTCTTGAATTTTAAATGTATTTTTGCTATTTCCAATGCTTAAAAATCATACTTTTAAAACATAAGTACTGTTTTATATACACTGTGATTTTTGTTTTTTTGACTTCTAAATATGAATGATATGGTCTCCAAGTATCTACTTGGAAGGAAAGGAGATGGGATTCATTGTTTTGCTCTAACATGGTAGAATTTAAAATTTCACTTCATATATCCCAAGTTTTGACTATACGAAAAATAGCCAAATGTCCTCACTTTCTTGTATATTTCTTTTACATGTATATATGTGTAATATAAACAGAATACATCTGATTAGTACATTTCAACGTTTCACCAATGTGACTTTTATCTCCTATTTTATACAAAATAACAAAATATACAGAGAGAAGAAAGGAGACATCTGTTCATCGTACACAGAAAGTAAATAAAAGTTCATGTATGGCTTTGCAAAGGTAGATTATGATGTGACTTTCACACTTTATTTATTTAAAAGCATCTTGAGAGAACGTGTTAGTGTGCTTACGAGAGCGGCCATGGTGGTTGAATGTCGAGTCGAGAGTCCAACACTGGGATCCTCAGTGGTCTTTCCGGTGGCTGCCTCGGCAGCTTTCAGGAGACAAATGTAGTTTATGACCACTTCATCGATTTTCACTACGATTTCCTGCCGCTGTGTTTCTGAGCTCACGACTTTAACTAATCGCATGCAAGCTTCTGTTAGGCAACAGAGCACTTGAAAGCTGGAAGTCATAGCTAGGAGCATCTCCTCTGGGCTTTTCTCAGCCATTGCCATTTTCCTACAGGCACTTCCCAACTGTCTGGACTCAATGGATAACAGTTGCTTGTACTGAGAAAGTGTAAGGTCATATGCTTCAGGGCGTGACTCCTCTCTCTTCCCCTTGGTTGCCCTGACAAGGCAGAGCAGCTCATTGGCATCATTTTGGGCTGCGAGGAACCCATCAGGCATTGCATATGTGCTCTGCTTTAGGGCACTTATTCTCGCAATCTGGGCATCAAAAGCCAGGTTGCTGAAGTCCATGTCATCTGGGCCACTCAGGTCTTCTGCCCAGCCCTTCAGCACTGGATATCTGGACAGCTCCCCTGCTTGCTTCTGAATCCCAACAGCCAGGGGCAGGCTGGCTGGTTCTTGCATGGCTTGAGTCATCTGTAGTGGAAAGAGGCAAGAGACCCGGTGGGTGGGCTCTCCTTCCTCTTCCTCCTCCTCCTCCTCCCCTTCATCCTCACCCTCACCCTGCCCTCGGCTTAGGAAGCAGTAGCTGAAAGGTCCCCGGCATCTCCAATTGCTGCCTTCCAGCTTCCTCAATGGTAATGTCTTATACAGCTTTGAGTCTTTGAGAGCCCCTGGGGACCTTTTGTGAACCTTCATGTCAGAGCTAAAGTGCATCGAGCTTTGGGAAAAACTTTTAGTGAGCTTCTTTCCCAGGGGCAGTTCTGCTTGCTTTTCTGAACTGGCTTCCTGTGCTTCTGTGATACCTGGACACTTTAAGCTGACTGTACCCTTGGTTCTTCCTCGGAAGGTCTCCAAACCTACACACCCTGAGAGGATACTGCTGCTACGTCTCAGAGCCCTCTGGCTGGGGGGTGTCCCATGGCTCTCTCCTCTCAGATCCAGTGGCTGCCAGCTCACAGCCTCTCCGTAGGCCTGGTATGCTTGGGAGAAATCATTGGGGTCTTGATTTGGAATTGGCACTTTTGATTCCGAGTGAATGTTTGATGGTAGCAGGATGGGATCAGCTTCAGGATATTGAGACCAAACTGAAGTCATGCCTCCTTGTCTCTCCTTCTCAGACTCTGTCAAAGCTACACTAGGGGTAGTAGAAAAACAGAGAGAATCATTAAACATCTCATGGGTGGTCAATTTCACTGCATCTCTCTGTGATGTCTGTTGTTTCCCAAGGATGCATTCTAGAAGGGGTGCCATTCATCAGGGTCACCCCACTTTCCAAAGACTGCTTCCTGACATCACATAAAAGATTTCCATTTCAATACATTTCAAAAAATACTGTGACCTGTTATTTCTTAAACTATTGATTCATTTGGAATTGTCTAGAAATCCCCAATGTTTTCAGGGCGATAATGGAATTACATTAATTACTTTGCTCCCAAACATTTATCTGTCAAAGCTTAGACACTAATTACAAAACATACATCCTACATATAGATTATTTAAACATATTTATGACATTTAAGTTTCATTTCAAGGGAGTTAGGTTAATCCTGGCATCTGTTAATTTTTATAAAGAAGTGACCTAATGTAATCAATGCAAATTAAATCAGCTCGCCTTTTAAAGAGGACCCTGAGAAATTTTCCTGGTATAGGTTGTAAAGTGGAGACACTGGGCAAATTACTCAACTTTTGTCAGAAAAGTTGTCATGTGAAGAAAATCTCCATTTCACAGAATTTTTGTGAGAAGCAAGGGGTAAGTTAGATAAAAGCTCTCTGTAAACTGCAAAGGATTAAACAGCATGCTTCAATTAGTTTAGAGAGAAAGATACTAGCTGGGTGATGAGTTACATAAATTCATAGGCGGGTTTCCTACGGCAGGTGAAGCTAGTGGTGGTTTTTTAAAAAAATTGATTTTAGATATGAGAGAGAGAGAGATAGGAGGAGGAGGAGAGAAAGAGAGAGAGAGAGAGAAAAAGAGAAACATTGATTTGTTGTTCCACTTATTGAGGCATTCATTGGTTGATTCTTGTATGTGCCCTGACTGAACCTGAAACCTTGGTGTATGGGGATGATGCTCTAACCAACTGAGCTACCCAGCCAGAGCCCTTTTTTTTTAATTGAGTGGTGGGTTTTGAGAAAGTATATAATCTTAAAAGAGCAGGAATAGAAATTAACCACTATAAGATCTCATTAACATTTCAGAATACTCCTCTAGGAGAGTCTTACAGAGTCAAGAGGAATCTGTAGGTACTGATGAAAGGCAAATGATCTTCCCTAGTCCCTCCAATTTCTCTGACACCCTGCTCTATGATCCTTGCCTCTCAAAAATGAAATGGCAAATTTAGAAATTCGATGTCTTGAAAAGGAAAACAAACCATTTTGTGACTAAGCAATACGATCTTGTAACCAAAAGTCACAATGGGTACTGCTAAAAGTCTACATTTAGATTTTAGAAAAAAAATATTGCTCCATCAGATTCTAAAAGCAAGGACAGAGCAAGATTCTAAAGAGCAAATGCCATCTTGGCCATTGTTTTAGATCTGGAAACTTGGGTATTTTTTAAACACTGAGGGATTAATGGTTGATACCTAACCTGGTCAGTCCTGCCTGCAGCCTTTTTAAATATTCTAACTTTTGATTTTCTTCCAGATTTCATGCTTTTAGGTTTGTGGTAAATTTGGTTTTCGTGTCTCTGGTGTATAAGGCAAAATGCTAAATCCCTCATTGCTGTACCTGTGGTTTCCTTAATCTTGGGGAGTCGATGGCATCCGTCTCTCAAAGTGCCAAACAAGGGTTCAGCATTAATGGCTGTGTGCAGAGCGGGCACTGTCATCCGTGGACACACCCCTTCTGTCTGTGGGTGTAATTCCTTAAAGGGGGCTCCGTGGTTGGGAAGCCCAGTGGCTCTCTCCTCTGAAGGAACATAAGCCACGCCTTTTCCCGAAGTCTCAGGAATCAAGTGCTTCCCCATGGAGGGACAGAGTGGGGACTCCACGGGTGTGGCGCAGGTGCTGCTGCTGCTGCCAGTGCCACAGCCTGCATCCACCGAAGAGCCTTGAGAGCTCTGTAGAGAAAAGTGGCCCTCACTCTGTAATGATGACATCCGCTTGGCCAGGTGGTAGTCACAAAGATGGGCCACACTCTCTTCTGCCACAGGAAGCTTGGAAGGATGGTCACAGGTAGATGGGTCAGCATCCTCTGGGTTATCTAAGTCTTTGGCTGAAGAGACACAGGTCATGTCAGTTAAGAAGTGGTCCCGTTGGCCAAGTCCTGAAACCTCATTGGCTTCCCCATCGGGAACCCCTTCATTCTTCCCTTCGGCCTCCCTGGTTCCCAGACCAGAAGCTCTTGGAAAGATTATCCCTGTTCCTGTTTCCAATCCACTTTTTTCAGCCACCCCGCCATCAGTGGCCACATACCATCTTTGGCTGTCCTTGCGAAAGGCAGTTCTCTCCAGGTTAAAAGTGCTCAGGTGTTGATTGTCCCTTGAAGACATGGTACCAAATTTACCTTTGGCGTCGTCCTCTGCCTCAGCTGTTTTGGCCCCCTGCTGTTTTTTCCCTGGTAGGTTCCCATTAAGGGGTGCTTTCCCCTCCCCATCGGCCAACTTGCTTTTCCTTTTGCTGGTGCAGGAATACGCCACCGACCCCATGTGCAGTTTGCTAAAATAGTCAGTGACTGACTTGGTCTCCATTGTTTCGGGCTCCATCTCCATGTGGTCTGAGTGAAGCATCTGCTTGGAAGGCACAACTTTGGGCGGCAGGTCAGTCGCTGGACGGGCGGCTAGGGTGCGAGAGGCCTTTGCAGGCAAGCCCCCAGCAGGGGTTTTGGAGGTGGAGAACTCTGTCTGCTCTTCTGCAAGGGGGTGGTAGCCTTCATGAGCAGCCAAGAACATGCGGGAGAGGTTCTCTGACTGCTTCTGTGCTGTGGCCAGTTCAGAGCTCTCAGTCATTTCGGAAGAGTTAGTTTCATTGCCCGAGTCTGAGGAAGACTCAGGACTATAAGCCCTCATGATGGCTACACCTGCATGCCGTAAAGAACAAGAACCGATTAATAGAGGCATCAGAGGCACCAGGAGACATGTACGATAATGGGACTCATTATTTAGAACAAAATAAAACAAGGTTTTCCCTTTTCAGTAAGGACTTTGAGTTTATTGCACAGTTGTTCCAGAAATGGGGGGAAAAAATGTGCCACATGTTTAAAAAAAAGTAACAAAGGAAACCACATACACGAAAAAGCCATGATGGTCGTGTCTGCACATTTATGGAATGGGACATGCGTGAAATGGAGGACAGCACATAACAGGACTCCAGGGACAAATGGCTTGATGGGATGAATGATGACATGGTTATCAGTGAATAAATGTAACAATCGTGAAAGAACCTGAATTGTTACTGGTCTGCTGCTCTTCGGACACGGACAGAGCTTCTAGAGCTTCCAGCGGGGAGCCAACGGTGTTGTCCAGTCCCTTCTCACACGTGCCCTCGCTGCTGGTGGGCACGGCGTCAATGAGGGACACGGGGATGTCATCACTTTGCAGGCTGCTGCCTGGCTCCTTGTTCTCGTGGAAGGAAGCTGCCTGGCTCTGAGAGTCCTCCTCATCGGAGCTGTCCCTAAAGCCCGGCGGCGGGGCAGCGATGGCCATGTTCAAGGAGCGCAGCAGGAAGTCGTCCTCGTTATCGTCCCCTTCTGGAGGTGGCAGGGACGTGAGGTCAATGATGTCATCGCTTGACCCGGACAGGCTGAGGATGGCCGGCTGGTCCATGGCCGCCACCATGAGGTCCTCCTCGCAGCTCACCTCGTCTTCGTCCTCTGCGTCGTCGGCGTTTTCCGCATAGCAGATGTCGTGGAGAAGGGGCTCCTCCATGCCCTGCGGGGCCTCAAAGTTCTTCACGTCACCTATGTTCGCATAAACGGAACTTTCCACAAACTGGAGGCTCTCCGCCTCCGGGGCGAGATCTAGGCTCTTCATGTCATTGGCACTTCTCATGTACAGATCCGTCTGCTTCTCCAGCAGCTCCGGACTCTCGTCCAGCAGCCTATCATAGCTGAGAGTTGGGGGACTAATACCATCATCCATGGCGAGATCTCCAAAAATAAAGGACACTTTAGCTCCTCTTGGAGACTCCTGTGCTTGCTTTAGAGTTTCTGGTCCTGAGAAGGTCAAAAGGGACCGCTGAGCTAGGCTTCTGTAGTCTGCCTCAAGTGGAGCATCTTCGGGCTGAGTCAGCTGTTGGTTGAGCTCATCTGAATTATAGGTGTTGGCAATGTACAAGTGCCGGTGGTCTTTTGGACATGAGGTGCCATCTGTAATCTCAACGGTCTTCTGTTTTGAATCTATATATGTTATCTGGGCTTCTTGTTCCCCTTCGCCAATAAAGGTGGTCATTTGGGGTATACAGTTCCAATCAGAGCCAAGGAGGTTATGCTTTCCTTTATTCTCAGTTCCTAAAGGGAAAGAATCATGCAAAGAC